TGGACCAAATGTGGAGGCGGGCCGTAGTTTGAGGACCACTGCTCTAGATCTACTGTCCTGCAGGTTTTAGATGCAACCCAGTTCCAACACACCTTAGATTCGGCTGTGGGATCAGGGATGCATTCAAAACCTGCAGGACAGCAGATCTAGAGGAACTGGGTTGGAGTCTCCTGATTTAATCCATTCCATTGCAGCTCGGGCTGCATGTTTCAGTCTCTGTCCTGCTGGAATCTTCTCCTCATTCTCAAGTCTTTTGGTAAAATAAATTAATGAAACCAAGATTAATGAGAACCAAATCATGGATCAATTCCTTCCCTTTCATAAATATGGCAGACTTTCAGTTTTTCTGTCAAATAAAATCCCACTGAGCTGTGTGGCTGTACCATGACCAGATGCTGAAAAGTTAAAAGGGTATAAATATGTTTACAAGGTGCAACGATCTGCTCAGCTTATCTCTGTCTCTAGGTTCTGTAAAAGCCTGATAATGACATTTATTTACATCAGATGTCTTGACGCAGGGAAACATTTCAAGCATGCAGGATACAGGCCTTGATTGAGCAGAGCTGCCCACCTATGATTACCCTTCCTGTGTCCTATGATCCCTGTCACATGTTCCTGTTCAGGCATGGAGCAGAGAGAAGACATGGTGGAGGAGGAGAGTCTCCTCTCATCCACAGACATTCCTACTCACTTGATGAAGCAGCGAGCTCCCTCAAACGTGTACCCTTCCTCCCATCCTGTTGGTAAATCTGAGGACACAAAGCCACACACAGGACAGAAGGAACATGAGTGCTGGAGTTCTTCTCATAATAATGTAGCGTCTGGACCACATCTTGGGCTTGTGCATCACTATAAAGCCATCTGTCCCTCTGAAGGTTCAACACCTTCATTCCACATGGTGCTACATGACCCAGAAGGAGAGGGAGAACGGGGAGGTGGAGCTGGCGATGCAAATATTGTGATCGGGCTAGAGGGAAATGGTGACGGCTTTGTCAAGATGTGATTTTCACCGATCAGATGTGCAGATCTATGAAAAGGCTTCAGATTCATCAGCTCTCTTGTGCGGGACTTCAGCAACCCGCAACTTAAATGTCACTGCGGGGATCGGGTCCAAACATCGGCTCATACCGATGTCCATGGCTACGTGACGGAAGTTTTAAGAAGTCTGTCGCAAACTGTCCAGGTGGAGGAACCAACCATGTGTGTGTATGTGTGTGTGTGTGTGTGTGTGGTTTTGTTTAGCAGAGGAGGTTGTTGCTCTGCTGCAGCGAAAGACCCCCCTCCCCACCCCTCGCTCCTTCCTTCGTCTTCCACGGATCTTTGCGCAACTTGTCGCCTCTTTCTTTCCAACACAACTCCGAGACAACCTTGCGCGCGTGCAGAGGGAAATGAAGCCGTCGCCGGTGATTTACCTGGAGTTTTCCTGTGGCCTGTGATCACAGCCTCTCCAGTAACAGGATGCAGCCAGGTTGTACTCTTTGCTTCTTCGCTGGTGGAAGGAAAAAAAATGTCAAGCGATGAAGCCAACAATAGGACAAGTAAGGAAATGACACATGTCCGATTGTCTGCGTCATATTTACTTAATGAAGAATATGCGTCCATCCCGAGTCACTCCGTAACTCCAAGAAGAGGGAAGACAGCAGAGCCAGTCCGGCTTTGGATCCGCCGCCATGTCTAGCTGAGAGCTCCTCTGGAGTGCGCGTACCCGCGAGAAGCGCGCTCTAACATACCCACGCACTCTTTAGAGCTCCAGGAACGCGCAGAGAATCTTCAAAAGTTGATAGACTCAAATGTTCTGTAATTTTTGGAGCTTCACTGTTGCTGACACTGTTTTTAGATCAGATCAGTCATGAAGCCATATTGAGGTATAACCTGAAAATACAGTCGTATAAAAACGGGGGGGAGAGAAAAACAGTCAGCAGGCCCGCAGTATGTTCAATTTTAGCATACTTGAAGCCAGACTATTCATCAGTATATTTGAAGTATGTTATTTTGGAACAACTAATTTTATACTTAGTGTATTTTAATAGTAATTAAATTGTAGAAAATCACATTCTGACGTGTACTAAGTGTACTATCATGTAGTTTTCTGGAACAACTAAAGTTATACTTTGTATACTTTAAATATGGCTGACTTTTTATGTAATATAAACGTGCTTGATTATTATATCTTAAGTGTACTATTTTTGTGATTAAATTACATTAAAAAATATATTTAGAATGTCTTCTAAGTATATGAGCGTTATATATTTTATATATGAATAGTGTGATCACTGTATGTTCCAATTACTCTTTTGGTTTACTATAATCGCTAATCAAGTACACTTTGCAGTTACTTACCAATGTCTTTTATTATTTTTCTTTGTCACTTTGTACATTACATGCTTCATACACACTACAGTACTGCAAACATATCAGGCTACCAGAACAAAGAAGGATCAATTACAACACACTTTCAGTGTATATTCAATATATTCACATTTTTCAAGAGTACATTGCCACTATACTATCACAGAATTGTACAAATTGTCAATATATGAAAAGTTTACAGATAACATACCTATGAAAATTAGCACAATAAAACAATCGGTACATGTTAGAGGAAATGTGAAAAATATTTCACCAAGGACAGAGTTTTGTTTTAATTCAATGTCACAGTTTTCCAGTATTACTCCAGACAAACTGACATTTCTCCTTCCTAAGAACAGTGAGGATCAACGACAGAACATTCCCGTTCACTGCACCTTTCAGAAACCTACAAAAAAGAACAATAGAGCAATTAAACAGAGAAAGCATTTGTATTTTAAAGAGTACAGAAAAACAGCAAAGAAAAAAGTGAGACTTGCTGGAGCTTTTAGGACGTTGTGGACTCGCCATGTATGTGACATCATCAGAACTGATGATAATTGGGACCGGATGCCTGGGGTGGAAAAACATTTCTGAGTGTCTTCTTTGCCTGTTTATGTTAGAAGTAGAAAAAGATAATCAGCAATATAATAAAATCAGCTGATGTTGGCATTGACTATGAAGTTGTTTTAAGTGTGGACTTAAGAGAGACAAACTACCTTAAAAGCTTTCCATTCATGATCTGAACACACTGATCCTTACAGGGTTTTGAGGGGGGCTGGTGGTGCCCATCTCTAGCAGTCATCAGATAAGAGGCAGGGTTCACCATGGACAGGTCACCAGTCCATCACAGGGCCCTGAAAGCTAACAAATAAAATGTATGAAAGAGAAATGATAGAATAACAAGGGGAAAAAAATCTGTTCAATTATTTGTTAATCAAATCATGTTTATTGATATGTACTTAAATGTCACTGTAAAACATCATCAGGTATTTTTGTAATGCTATATAATACTTAGTATATTTAAAATGTTCTTCCGCAAATGTAAGTATGTTTGAAATATACCACAGTATTTTTTTTTTGTCACCTGGGTTGATCAGTGCAGTTGTTGACTCTAGATCAGTGTCTTAAACTCCAGTCCTCCGGTGTTGCAACATTTAGATGTTTCAACAAGTTTGCTTCAATATTAGCTCATTAGCAAAGCACTGTAGAGCCGGACTGCATGCTAGTGAGGCAATTTCACCATGTGTAGACCCAGGGACACATTGAAAAATTCCAGAACGCTGTAATGCATTTTGAGACCACTGCTCTAGATGAAGGTCTAGATAAAAAAAATTTAAAATTGATGTTGGTGCAAAAGTGAATAACTTGAAGAAACTGTCAAAAACAATTAATGAAGAAAAAGTAAAGAATTTGTCAATCTTAGAGTCTGAAGAAACAGTGTTGGCAAAAATATCAAAATAGGCTACTTAAGTTTTCAAGTTAGGTACCTTTGCTGTTTCAAAGATATGGGCATATAGCAGCAGTAAATGAAAACACAAGACCAACATGTGGTGAAGATCACAACATAAAAGAAGAAGTACAAGAGAAATGTTGCAGCTGTGGAGAGCAACATAGAGTCACACATGGGGTTGTGAGGTGAGGAAGAAAGCAAAAGAAATCATACAGATTAAAAAGATCAACTTTTCATTATTAACATGTACCATAATATGTCTGCATATTACAAACATATTATGGTTGTTGTTGGCCTTAATATGTTGTTTTTCGAGCATGTTAAGATTATTGTGGTACAAAACATATGTCTTTTGCTTTACTTGTTCCTGTGTGTTATTTTATACTGCTATCATGTTTGAAATAAATAAATATAAATAAAATAAAATAATATTTTGTTGACTATTCTTTATAAATTCTAAACCCTCCTGTTATGTTCATTTCTGAGGTACAGCAATAATGTTCGTGGGTCAGTTTGACCCGGGGAGTGTTTTATCATGCAACAGTGTCAGAAACCAAAAGATTCCTCCAAAACATTTTTGTATCTGATTATTAACTCCAATACTAACCATTTTAATCAATATTTGTGTAATGATGTTTTTTTATTTCTCAGAATTTAAGGATTAATGACAACAAACTACTGAAATACTCATTTGGACATAAAAAATGGAATTTAAATTTTTTATGTTCACTGAAAAAAAACTACACACAAAAAACAATAATTTCCTTGAAATTGATCTTTGGAAAAAAAATTTATATTACTTTTTTTTTTTTTCAAAGGGTGATCTTTATAATTGAACTTGAGACACACATACTGTTCTGGGTCAAATTGACCCACCGATTAAAATCAAGATAAATGAGTCATGCAGAGAGTATTTATGTTTTCCTCCACTTCTACTGAGTGTGACTCAGTGTGGGTGGAGTTTGACCACTGGAACAGAAAAGGTTCCCGTCAAAAGTTGTATGAACACCTGCTTTCTCGTAGTTCATAGTGAAGTAAAGAGTAGGGAGAAAGTGGCCTTGTGTGTGTCTGCGTGTGTTTGTGTGTCTGTGGTGAAATATGGTTCATAGCTGCAAGGAAACATATAGAATTGGACATTTTTTAATCTTTTTTTGCACTTTAACTTGACTGCCAGGTCAAATTGACCTGAACAGTATCGATGTAACAAGTAGACGCAAGGGGGGCGGGGGGGTTACAAATGTGTAAAGTGAATAAATTTTCAATTTATATGTAGAGTTCACCTATTAAGACAAATAGAAAAAGTTTCATGCAAAAAAAATACTTCCAACTATTTA